TTGTACAGACTAGGTCACAGACCCTTCACATGCCAGGCTGGGTCACCAGACCCCGCACACACAGGTCCACGCTAGGTAACTGGGAAAGCTCCCAGGAGCCATTGGCAGACGACATGAGTTCAGTCCTTAGCAGCAGCGGTGATGATAGCCTCCCAGGGCGGGGTGGGGTGGGGGGCACTGTGGATCAGAGCTGCTCCTCCTTTAACTTAAGTCATAACCCCAGACACCTGGGTGCACGTGCGCAATTACATTAATAAATAGCCAAGGAACACCTGGGTGCACATGCATATTTACATCAAATGCTCCGCAAGATTCTGAACACCTGAAGGGCCCTGACCATTTTCCTATATTTTCCCAACAGAAGGTAACTGTTTTTATAACTCACAGGTCCCTGAACCTGAGGAACCATATGAGGGTACTTCAGAAAGTTTATGGAAAGATTCATATTATCTTTTAATTCTATTTTTCCATGAATTTTTGAAGTACCCTTATATCTAGACCTGATTTAGGTGATGAGATTCTGGACCTGAAGGCTTAATTAGATGACTGGGGTATCTTGGTAGGAGATTAATGTATTTTACCTATGGGAAGAATCCAAATAATTTGTGGCCACTGGGCAAAGATGCCTGCCAATTCATTGCCCCTCCGCCCATCAAGAGGTAGAGTCTGTTTTTACTCCTCTTGAATCTGGATGCCCCTGTAACTTGTTTTAACCAAAGGAATGCCTACAGAAGTGACACTTAAGGCTGGGCCTTAAGGAGCTGCATCTTCTTACCTTGTTTTTGAAGTGCTCCTTTGTATAATGCATCCTCCAGTTTGTGAGGAAACCCATGCAGCCAAGTAGAGAGACCTTTGTGGAGAGGTCCATATGGAGAATGAAGGCCTCATGACCCACAACCCATTCTGAGCTCCCAGCCCCCAGCCAGCTTCAACTGCCAGCCCTGTGAGTGAGGCCATTTTGGAATTTCCAACTCTGCTAGTGCCCCAGGTGATACCATGTGAGGCAGAACTGCCCAACTATGAGAAGTTGTTGTTGTTTTAATACACCAAGTTTTGGGGTGGTGTATTATGCTGCAATGGATAACTAAAATAAGTGTCTACCATGTGCCAGGGACTATTCTATGCTCTTCTAATCTACCAGGGTAAAACAGAAATGTGGACAGGTGCAGAAAAGGGCACTGTGAGTGGGCAGAGGAAAGGCCACTACACTAACCTGTCTAAGGCAAGCTGCAGGGAGAAGCAGAGAGAAAACAGAAATGTGGACAGGTGCAGAAAAGGGCACTGTGAGTGGGCAGAGGAAAGGCCACTAACCTGTCTAAGGCAAGCTGCAGGGAGAAGCAGAGAACTGGTGATTCTGGGCAGATGAGCACTGATGGACCAACTGGCAAACCCAAATCCCAGCTCTTGACCAGTCAGCACTGCAACTTCTTTCTCCAGGTATTTCACCTGATGGGATTAATTTTTCACCTAACAAAGTCCAGTGTGGAAAGAGCTGAAGACAATGGAGAAGAAGGTTGTCTGCACCTGTCTGTCTCTCTTTCTCTGATACCAGTTCATGTTCAGACAGTGGGACAATATTGTCCTGAAGGTTTCTGGACCTTTTTGAAGCAAGAAATTTACTGATTCTGGTACCTTTGGATCAGGGACTGATGCAGCTGATTCTCAGGCCTCAGTGGACTCTGCATGTTTCTGAGGGATAGACAATTAGCAAATGTGGTTGTTTTTCCTTGGTTTCTGCCCACAGAGGGTCCTGGGACAGGTCTGTGACCCTTAACTTCCCCTTAGTCCTGTCTCCTGCCCTATGGAAGACACATCTCCATTCCCCCCCCCCCTTCATTTTACAGATGGGGGACTAATCTGACACATCCTCACTCATTGGCCAGGCAGAGTTTTCCCTTAGGCATAGGCTGTTGGGGTCAGCTTCACCCTTACCAACTTCTTGGAGAATGACTCTTGACTTTGTGTTCTAAAATAGCTTAGCAATAATTTCTCCCTTCTTTCCTTTCCACAGTATCAAGATGATCATAACTATTCACTTATCAAGTATTTTAACAAATATTTATTCAGTGCCAACCACAGGCCAGGCTTATTTCTAGGGGCTGAGGACACAGTAGTAAATGAGAGAGAAAGTTTCTGTTGTCATGGAGCTGAGCTTCTAATGAGGGAGGCAAGACAACAGAAAATAAATGCATAATGTTGGGTAGTGATACACACTCTGAAAAATATCAAGCAGATTTGGGCAGAAGACTATTCTACATAGGGTAGTCTGAGAAGGTCTCTGTCATAAGATGACATTTGAGAGACCTGAATGAAATATGGGGGAAGAGCGTTTCAGGCTAAGGGAAAATCAAGTTCCTGAGGCAGGAAGAAATATGGCAAGTTCAAGGAATAGCCATTAGGTTAGTGTGGCTAAAGCAGATCCAGCATGGTAAATAGAGAGTGACTGGAGATGAGGGTGGGGAGGGAGATAGGAACGAGATTAGAGAGGGCTTCTATGGATTTGGGTCTGTTGTTTTTGTTTGTTTTACTTTGTTTTGTGGCTGGCCAGCACAGAGAGTCGAACCCTTGACCTTGGTGTTACCGGATTTGGATTTTGTTCCGAATAAAATAGCATGATCTGATTCATGCTTACAAAGATCTTCCTGCATTCCCGGTGGAGGATGGATTTAGGTGGGCGCATGGCGGAGGTGGAAGCGCAGTGACCAGTTAGGAGGCTGTCATAGAACCCAGGCCAAGATGATGGTGGCTTGGTCCAGGGTGGTTACAGCAGAGTTAGCCAGTGGTGAATTCTGGTGTTTTGAAGGTAGCACTGACAAGTCTTGCTGAAGAATTGGAAATGGCATTTGAGAGTAAGGCACATCAGGACACCTTTTAGGTTCTGGTTTGGGGGAACAATGGTATCGTCTCTGTGGGAGGTAAGAATGTGAATGCAGTGTAGGGAGAAGGTTGTTGGTAAAATAGGCAGTTGAATATATGAATCCAGAGGTCGGGAAGAGATCTAGGCTGGAGACAGAAATTTTGGACTCATCATCGTACAGGTACTATAAATCACTCCCAGAGAGTGAGTGTAGACAGAAAAGCATCATGGACTATGGTCCGGGGACTTCAACAACTGGAGAGAAGTCTAAAAAGTGGACATAAGATGTGGCTAGTAAAGTGAGGAAGATCAGGAGGACCTGATGTCCAGGAAGTTAAGTGAAGAAAGTAGATTCTGTATGATCACAACCAAGTGTCAACTCCTGAGCCTCAGTTTTCTCATCCGTGAAATGGGGACAGTAACGCCTACTTCATGGCATATAGTAAACTCTCAAAACACGGTAGCTATTGTTATTCCCCATTTCAGAGTAATAAAACGGGGACAATTTCTACTTCATGGGATTGTGTCTAGCCCAGTGTAAATTGTAAAGGTTGCTCTCCTGCATGCTAGCGGGGAGTTACTGAGGCTCCCATGGCGGGGTGGGATGCACTGGAAAAGGCACCCTTTACCCTCCCACCCCCACGAACCAAGCTGGGCTGGCCTGTGAGATACCCTAGCCCGGGCTCCATGAGAGTGAGGCGAGAGGAAGTGGCTCTTCGTGCGCTTGCTTTGCAGCAGGACCCCCACATAGCCGACCGTGGCCCAGCCAGGCGGGCAGGGGGGGGTGGGGTCTGCACCTGCCAGAGAACCCTTCCGCTGCGTCTCTCCCTCCACCTGCATCGAAGCCTGTTGCCCGGGCAAC